ACCCCCGAGAGAAAATCCCGAAGAAGTCTCGCAAAACTCGAAATAGTGCGAAAATCCCAATTTAGTGCCGAGAAACCCGAAAACCTCGAAGTAGTATCGAAAAACCCGAAATAGTACCAAAAAATCCGAATTGGTCTCGAAAACCCGAAATAATCCCGAAAAGTCTCGAGAATCCCGAAATAGTCCAAATACCTCGAAGTAGTCCCGAATATCCCTATACAGTCTCAATGGCAGTAGGCTCGGAAAACTGGAAATAGTCCCGAAACCTTTGAATTGGTCCCAAATATCCCGAAGTTTTCCCGAAGATCTCAATATGGTTCCGATAACCCTGAAAATCTCGAAGCAGTCCCGAATAATCAGAAATATTCCTGGAAATCCCGCTATATTCCCGAGAACCCCGAAAATCTCAAGGTAGTCCCAAAAATCTCGATATAGTCCTAAAAACACCGAAAATCTCGGAAGTATTCTCGCCAAACCCGAAATAAACCCGAAAAGTCTCGAAAATTCCGAAATAGTCCACATACCCCGAAGTAGTCCCGAAGATCCCGATAGAGTCCCAAGAACCCGAAAATCTCGAAGTGGGCTCGGAAAACTCGAAATAACCCCAATAATTTCTAATTGGTCTCAAAAATCCCGAAGTTGCCGCAAGATCCCAATATGGTCACGATAAACCCGAAAATCTCGAAGTTGTCTCGAAGAATCGGAAATAGTCCCGAAAATCCCACTATATTCCCAAGAACCCCGAAAATTTCGAAGTATTCCCAAAAATTCTCAAAATCTCAAAGTAGTCAAAAAATTCCTAAAAAATCCGAGAAAGTCCCAAAAATCTTGAAAATCTCCAAGTAGTCTCATAAAAGCCGGAATAATCCGAAAAACCCCGAAGTAAATCAAAAATCCCGCAGTAGCTTGAGGATCCCGATATGCTCACGAGAACCCCGAAAATCTCTAATAACCCGAAATATTCCTGAATATCCCGAAGAAATCCCGAAATTGTCCAAAAATTCCGATATATTCCCTAGAACCCCGCAAATCTCGAAGTAGTAGAAAAATTCCGAATTGATCTCGAAAACCCGAAGATTCCGATATAGTCCCGAGAGCCCCGAAAATCTGGAATGAGTCACAAAAATTCCGAATTGGACCCAAAAACCCCGAAGATCCCGAAATAGCTTCGAGAACACCGAAAATCTCGAAATAGTCTCGAAAAACCCGAAATAGTCCCAAATATTCCGAAACATCCCGAAGTCCCGTTGCATTAAAGAGTATTATTTAGTTGAAAAATCGCAAATCAAATGATTCGCTCTACAAATCAAATCATAAATAAATTTGATTTTTGATTTGGAGGGCTATTCAAATCACCCATCAATTTCATTTCTGATTTGGAGGCCGATTCAAATCACAAATCAATTTGATTACTGATTTGGTTGACGAATCAAATCACAAATAAAAGTTATCTTTTATTTGGTTGAGTAGGGATGTGCCGGATATCCGGGATCCGGCATATCCGGCCGTGAAAAAGATACTATTGTGAACATCCTAAACGAGCGAAATTCACAATAGTGATTCTTCATCGAATGTGCGTCATAATACTAAATGAAAATTCGTTCGATCAGCGCTTTCGACCACAGTCGTAGATCGAATGCAACTCATAAAGGGGCCTATATTTTCGAATTATTTGGTTCACCATCTACCCAGTTTTTAGATTTATTTATGTCAGAAAAGAAACCGAGTTTTGAAACGTGTGTCACAAAATATTGCAACAATGGAGCCTTACGGGGCATGCATATTAGTTCGCTTTTCGACACGTTGTTAAATAAAAAAAATCAATCACTAATTTTTTTTTACCGGGACGTTACACATTCAATTTTCTCCTTTCAATTTTCAATACACTCACACATTTTCACTAACACTCTCTTATTTATTACTTGAATGGGCAACTTGTTTTCAATTTTTCCCTTTCAATTTTGATCAGTTGTTCAGCATCGGTATGGGAATTTTGTGAAAATAAAAAAATACTAAGCTTCTGCATGCTTAAATGTTAATCTACAATGGAAATAAAAATGGAAAATGGTCTTCGGAAGCTAGTTAGTTACATTGTTTTCTTGAAGACGACATGTTAATAATGAAATTGCTTCTCAAATTGAATGTAGCCTACGCAATTGCTTTCAATTTCGATGATATTTGACAAGCAATGTGTGTGAGAAATTGAAAGGCAAAACTGATTGTGTGTCGTCAGCGTTAGCGGCGTTCATTGTTGCTTATCTTTTGTCTTTGGCGTTTCTCCTCTATTTACCAAAAATAATCGATAAATGCGGTTTAATATAGGATTATATCATATCTTGGATTTCGGAGGAAAAATTGTGTACATATTCTTAATTACGTATTGGATAGTTAAGCAAAAAAAAGCAGATAATCTAGCTAAACAAAAAACCTAATATAACAATATTGTGAAACTTATTAAGGGCAGCAGACTACCGGATATCCGAATCCGGCTGTTATTTTTTACAGGATATCCGGAATCCGGCTATCCGGCACATCCCTACTTATTATTATTACTTTTTTCTTCTGTTTCCCAAACATATTCATATATGATAAAGGGATAAATTGCTTACATTTATCAGTTTATCTGCATTCTTACATGAACGCACCTTGGTAAATAATTGTATAAATTGTTTATAATTTAACTTATATGGCTCGTTACGTTCCGTTCTTACCTCGTCCATTGTGTTCATTTGCTTTTTATGTGCTTATCACTTTTGATGAAGACTCCTATTTCATCATATACATATGTTATTTTAGATTTAATCCACAAATTGTTAGCACGTGACTAGCACTATAAAATAATTGTAAAATTGTTGTGTTGGGATAAACCAATAAATGAAAAGAAAAAAAAAATAAAAATTAATACGTTTTAACGACAATGCTAGCCAAAAATTAAAAATTTCACAAATTTACTACGTCCTCGTCTGATGGTAAAAGCAACATTGTTCTATGAGATAGCCGAATCTCAGAAAATGAACAGAGAATGCTGCCTAATTACTTCATCTTGTTTATTGCGCCATGGCTTCAGCTGATATATTATGAATATTTAAACATACTAAAATTTTATGTTTTTAAAGTCAATATATCTATTAAATTTGTGTTACAATTAAATTTATTAATTTACATTTCAGAGTCCTATTACTATCCAAATACAGATTCCAAACGTAGTTGATAAGTCAGAATGGAAACTGAACGGACAAACTATTGCCTTTTCATTATCTCTCTCAGATACTGTTTCCAATCTCAAAGCAAAGATTCAAGATGACACGGGAATGCCACCTGCGAAACAAAAAATTTCTTATGAGGTAAGTTTCATATATACAAATTTGCAACCTTATAAGTGCCCAATAAGCGAACGTTGCGGCGAACTTTCGGTATCCAATATGAATATCGAATTGAAAATGAACATAGTGAAAGAAATTTAGAAAAAAATTGGTTTATTATCATTTAAACATAAATGCGGAACCTGAATACAACTGGGTAACACAATTCAACCAATTCTTAAACAAAATTGGTTTATCTCATATATGGGAGACGCTGAGCTCTGATGCCTGAAAAGGTTTAGAGCAACAAGCTTTTGAGCGCATTGGTCGTCTTTTAAAATTTCAGGATGTACTAAGCTGTTCCAATTCTCCCTCCATGAACTGCAAAATTTTACGATCGCTCGACGAAAGTGTGGCCCCATATCTTCTCTTTAGGAAAAACTTCTACATGAGTAAAATGTTTGCCCAAGTTCGCCTGGCGACGAAGTACAACATAAGGTTTTGCATCGAAGGCCTGGTTTATAAAATATACCCAACTGCTTTATGTACGCAGTGCAATTCAGATAAAATGGAAAGCCTAGAGCATCTGCTCTTCAAGTGCCAAATTTATTGTTCCTTTAGGGACTACTACCTAGGACCACTTCTAAAAGAATCTGAAAGCAATCCAATGCATATATTCCAATTGACTATATCAATTTACAGTCAGGATGGTGTACCTCTATGTTGTTAACTGTTTGCGACTTTTTATTTTTTAATACTTTGTAAAATACATCCACTTTTAATACATTTGCGAATAATTATGTAACCCTCAAACATGTAAACTCAAATGTAACTATTAGAAAGCCTGCTAAAAACATACAGTTTATAAGCAGGGTTAAATAAAATGAACGAATGAGTGAGGAAAAAATCGGCAATGCCGACTTAAATACATTGAGTAATGAACCGAATCCCCTTTATTTTAAATTAATTCCAAAATTCTCACTAGTATACCCTGACTAGGCTTAAACATGTACCCTGACTAGGCTTAAACGTGTACCCTGACTAGGCTTAGCTTGTTAATTGCATCATGAAATCTCCAAACATGTAAATTTTGAGTTATATCTCTATGTTATTAAACGTGCGATATATGAAGTTGACGCAAATTTTCTTAAAAAAATATGCAATTGGCTTTAAAACTCATGGACTGATTAAAGGTGGCCTCAAACAGATGCGATCAGCCTTGTTCTGCAATCCGAGTCGGAATCGCATCGGAATCGGAATTCAATTCCGACTCGGAATTTAAATGCTGTTCCACAATCCGTTCGGAACTTTTGTTTCGAAGTTAATATCGAATCCGGTTGTAGAAGAAAAGGAACAAACCTCCTACTTGTCAATTGCGTTCTGAAGTGTCAAAACTCATTTGAAGAAATTAAAAAGTGAAAACTAAAATGATTTCAATGGTTTTATTAGCTGTTTTGCCCAATAATGAGCAGCAAACAAATGAAATAATGAGGCAAATAATTTTGCGCGATCGCAGTAATCCCATATAATTACCAGACTCTGCGTATGTAGTATGCAAACAACTGTTTTCTCTTTTGCAATTTCAAAGTATAATTTTATATTTGACTGGCAGCCTTATGTACGCAAAAAGTTCCATTCCTGGGAGCACAACGAATGGACCAACATCGCTTTGAGAAGGAGCACCGTACCATTGCCGACGGTACCGACACAATTTTGTGTGCATGGAGTCGGTGATGTAGGTAACGATGTTTAATGGGGATTAAATATCGAGGTGGTGATCGTCATTCGTGGTTATTGGGCAATGCCGTGTATGCTCTGGAACCTTTTCTGTTGACACCGTATATAAATCCATAGCCACGGTCTATACAACACGCATTTAATCAAATACATTAGGGCTGTTTAGGATTTTGTGCATATTCTCCTGGATTTGCATATTCGTTGCATTTGTAAATTTACAACAATAACATGCACACGGTTGCCATGGCAGCAAGAAAAAAATTTGCAAATGCAATTCCAACTGCAATCCAGGACCACTTCCACAACATCCTGAACAGCTCCATTCTTCGGCACGTAGTATTGGAGTTCCCCAAAGTCGTTTTCAGTGTTTATTAGTAACCTTGCAGTACAAACTATGAGAGGTTGTGAAAATAATTAATAAATGTGTTGCCCGCATAACATTTTTCGGCACTACAGTCCTGAATTTGACTATGAAGAAGTTGAAGAAAACGATAGCGAAGTATGTAGATAGGGAAGTAGATACATTTGCACCAACAGAAAAGTGAAGCACAAATAATTGGATACGAAATTGCGAATAAAATTACCCCTATTTAATTAAAACAAGTTTTGTAATTAAACAATAAACAATTTACGCAAAAAAATAACATTCTAAGACTTTCTACTATTTTCAAATTCGAAACGCTCTAGCTCCAACTCAAGCTGTCGCAGTTTAATTTTTTTTTATTTTTGCATTATAACTATTGCCAATTTTAATTAGTTTACTTACATTTTTCGTTGTTCGCTAAAGTTTAAAATTTTCCTTTGATTATTTACATTTATATTTTTGTTTTTTTTTTTTCTTTTACTTGATCGGAATATTTACGATAGAAATTCGATTTGATGTGGATCGAAATGTAGAACAAGGCGGAATCGGAAATAATATCCGATTGTCGGAATGCAGAACAGCAACAATCGGAAAAAAATCCTATTCCGATTCGAATCGTATTGCAGAACATGGCTGGATATTACCGGTGCGAAAGCAAAGGCCCTCAAATAGGTGCGATCATTATATTCCGAATACTTCAAATAGTATAATATGGAGCAACAATGGACGAGTTGAATTGTTAAATCAATTTCAGAACTCTACAATTTACAAGTCGCTCATATCGTGTGATCAATTGTGCCTTCTGCAATAGAATTTTTGAACGCATCGTATCGCTCCGGTATACCGCATCTGTTTGAGCACTCCCATATACCGCAAAGGTTTGTGTTGATTGCATATCGTAAATTTTTTTTTATCGCACCTGTAGTATCGCATCTCTTTGAGCCCACCTTAATGAAAGCTGTTACGTACTTTTGGTCATAGGTAATGCTTTACCAAATTGTAGCGGCAGTAGAAAAGCAAAACCAACACGACTATTTTCTACTATTAAGACTTTCTTCTACTGTCAAGGCATATTTTTTTTGTGTAGTACTGAATGATTACAGGTGTATTCATTCAACGAAAATTTACAGTCAAGGTACATTCACATTCTCTTTGTGATTTTTCCCTAGCATTCAATAACACCACATATGTTGTATTTAAAGTAATGAACAAATCTCAAAAGTAGTTATTTTAGTTTTTAAATCAAACCAATCACATTTTTGAAACGAATTAAATGTGAATGAAAACAACAGATTCAATCATCATACAGCTCTAAAACTAATGGAACGCTATGAGAAAAAAAGTTTCGAGAAGATTTGTTCCCGTTTCGTTATCTGTCAGAAAGTTCCTGAGACTTTAGTTTCCAAATGGTTCTTTGAGAGAAAGTTCCTTAGACTTTTGGTCTCATTTTGAACTTTGCCAGAATATTGCGGATCTTTTTTCTTTTTAGAAATGCTCCCTTAAGTATTGTTCGTTTTTTTTATCTTTGGGAACATTCCATAGGGCTTTGTTCTTATATAATTCCCGTTGAGAACGTTCTGGACAGTTATGTTCTCACTTTCGTTCTTGTGAAATCTTTCCCCAAGGGTTTGTTCTCATTTCGGTTTGGGTTTTTGAGCTTTCTTGGGAACAAAGCTACGAGATCGACATTTAGTTTCCGTCGTACATTTTGTTCTCGGTCCATGCAAAATATTCAAGACTTCTGCCTCGAACGTTCCCTGTAAGATCCGGAAAATTTAACGATTATCCTATAATCTTAACCGCTACAGGTTAAGTTCTTGAGCTATCTTAAAGTCCAATTAGTGATACTACTAAGGTATAAGTTATTTATTCAAGAGAGTTCGAAACTAAGAAATTGAAGAAAGCTATTGCAATTCATCAGCCATCAAATTATTTAATACATTTTTTTGAACACTTTTTGAATTACTCTGAGGAATAGAATTGGATGGAAACGAAAATTTTATTTTTAAATTCCTTTCAACTCAATTAAAAAAATTAAATACCTACATTCTCATTTACTTTCAAAAGAATTGGAAAAAACTACATTACTAGCACGTAATTAATTTCAAGTAGAATATGAAATTCCTTGTAATGGAATTAAAAAAAAAAAATACATTTGAAATTACTTCTAAGGAATTGAAAAAGTAATAAATTCCTTTTAATCTCAAAGGAATCATTACGACCCAGCTCTGATTAAAGGTCAGATTGAATGAAAAATTACGTTGATCTCAAAACCGACGCACATACAGGTGTTTGTACGATCTAGGCGACCATAAGTTAGCTTAGCAAAATTGGAATAAAATTTGAAAAAGTAGCTACATTCGATAGAGAACATTCCCCAAAGCATTTCCCAGTCTTTCTCACATTTCTAACTTTCACCGCGAATGTTCACCGTTGACCGGAATTAGAGTTTTTAACGCTGCGTATAAATTAATTTTCGTTCTCTAGAGAGATTGTGACAGGTTTAAGTAAATATTTTTGTGAAGAGTGACTTGCAAGGAGAATTTATATAAGGTGGTGTTGTTTAATCAGCTGTGAGTAGCGTTTGATTGTCAAAATTTTATATTTTGCTAGTGAGTGAGTGAAATCGAGAGTGTTTGCATTTTCTGTCGCCCTTTTTCATTCGGAGAAGAAAAGCTGAAATTTGACAATGATCAGCTAAAAGCAAAAACAAAATACACGTAATTGTTGTATTTGTTGAATCTATACCACCTTATATGAATTCGCCTTGGTGACTTGTTTAAAAAGTTATGTTCTGAATTTCAATAAAACAAGTTGGAACCCTTATTTTTGAAATATTTCACTGGTTTTTTATTGATAACGCTTTCTTTTATTAGCGTTTAAAAACATCGTTTTTAATTATTTGAATATATAACATAATTTTAATTTAAAGAGGATTGTA